AATATTTTGACCATGTAACTGCGTTTTTGGAATTACTTCGTCTGTGTAGCATCAGCGACTTGTCTCCACTAGAAGTGCTAGCAGGGCTGGCTTTTCATGGACCAAGCTGGACTTTATCTAACAAGTCCACAAAAGAGCATGCAAACTATATACCAACGCTGAAATTCAAGTGTACAGTCGCATTATCACCACTGTGAGGCAAAACGAAGGAAGAAAAAGGTGCCGGCCTATTGTAAGCCTGCTGTAAGTGAGAGCGAGCAATGGGAAAATAGAACTTTTCTTCGCTTTCCATTCGCTCGGATTTCTAAGGTGATTTAAAAAGGTTGATTTGAGCTTTTTTGTATGTAGAGGTTGCTATGCATCTCAAACTGCTAACGTACTCCCTTTTGTCAGTAGAAGGATCGCTTAGAATATGATGTTTTTCTCTTATTATATTTATAGTTAACCTAGAACAAATGAAGTTTTAGTCTAGGTTCTCAAATAATGTGCACACATACGATATACCACTATATAGATTTGTCACACCTAACTATAAAAAGATGTACTTTTCCATATTCCATTGTTTTCCTCTACAAAAATACTGCTGATTCCACCGCCAGGTTATACATTATATTCTAGTAGATCACTTTCTATGTAAAAATGTCTTTATTTAGAAGCACACTCGCGGACGTATATCTTATGACGGTGCGTATCAAGTCCAGAAAGTAGTACAGCTTCATAATAAATGTCTTCTCGAGCAAATGCAAATGCATACTCTGGCACACATACGTTATATAATTAATCATATATAATAGCATAGTAATACAAGCAGCATTTTGTGAGTAGTGGCGATGACAATAGTAGCTGGGAAACGAATTTGTTCATGTGCACGTGTGCGTGTACCTTTCTTTTGTATGTTTGGCCTGACGACGGTTAGTCAAATTATTATATCGTACATATAAAAGCGCCGTTTTCTATATAATGCAGCTGCAGAAGACAAGCTAGTCTTCTAGTATTTTCAGACAGATGAAGAATTTCGGCGGGTGGAGGGGGTGTTGATTGCTTCTCCATTTCTTACTGCCACGATGACGACGACGATGACTTTTAGGCCACGCTGGATGTATTCTATTTATCATATATATGTATGTATGTATGTATGCGTTGCCGGTTTAGACAACTACGGAGCGGGGAAACGATGAGTGGTGAAGCAAATATTTCCTCGTCTGTTACTGCCTTAGTGCGCTTCTTCTGTTATTACTTGTATGTTTCTGGTTGGTGCTAATTACTCTAGGCATGAAAAATAAGCTATATATATAAAATTATATATATATATATATAAAATTATGATAATATTATTATTATTACTGTTGTTGTACATAGTAGAGGCCTACGTACTTGTGAGGCATAGTTGAGTTCAGGTACAAAAAATGAAACAGCTTACGAAACAGATTCTCATCTCATCCTATATAATTTCTGTGAACATGCCTGACAATAATACAGTGGGATGGACTGTTCACCTGCGCTTAAATTTATGTACGTAAAATATCTACCTACATGGACTTAAGCTCTTCTCATTTTTTCACCGTATACGTGTAGCCTTTGACCCCTAAGTAATATGTTCATCTATGGGAGTCCATACTTCATTACTCTCGGTGTCGCTTCAGGCTGGTAGCTCAGATGAAGCCTTTTTATATTTACATCGGAATAATTCAATATTCGTACCCAATAAGCACAATTAATAAAAATATAATAATAATAGTGACCATCATCATTCAAAGATAGCCACCCATAGAAACAGACTATTGCTCCTTCTGTCGAGGACGAAGAGGTTTTAAAAGGGCTCCAGTTTTCGGCGGTCCAATCTGAAAATACCGTTCGCTGTACGGCAGTTGTCGGAAGGTTTCTGCTACTCGAACTATTGTTATTATACGCCAGTTAAAAAAACTGAATGAAATTTAGAATTTTGCACGAATCATTGAATCAGCCTACGTAAAAATAGCACATATGGCCGTATGGTTTCGATACGTATTGGGAAATCCTAGGATTTTAGGAAATTACGTCAGCACCTATCTTTGTCCGCTTTGTAATTTTTCCTCTTGTAATATCGTGTTGTTTCAGCTTTGTCTTGTATTGGTCGTAGGACGTCGAGCGCTTCTTCGGGATTTATTCATGTAGGTAAAATTCCTCTTTAGCCTCGTGAATACTTGATACTGTCTGCTTCTTTTCCACCTTATTATTATTATCATCACATTATAGTACGAACGAAGAATTCTTAGGATCCCAAATTAGAAAATTTTCGCTAGGTTGTGGAATGTGGCTGTTTCGGAGAAGAGGGATATTTACTTCATGGCCTAATTGTCCTGTACAGATGTAGTAACTAACAGGCTACGATGCTAGCAGACCACCGTTAAACCTATATATATCCAAAGCATGCTCATCGCTTTCACGTACGCACAAATCACCATAAAACTAACAACCACACAGACAGTCACTAGCGTGTCTGTCGCTCCGACCGGACGATGACAAAGAAGTAGCGGCGGGAACGAACTGCAAAAGTGCTACTTTGATAGCCAACACACAGCACCCCGATATTCCGTAAATATAATAATAGTGACCCGTGATAGTTAACACACTGCATTCGTAGCGTCTCAGTATTCGTCACTGCAATAAACACCCAAATGGAAGCAAGTTAGAATGAACAAAGCTGATCTCGTTTGAGATGAGTGCGGCTAACGTCCCCATCTAAAGCTTGTATGAAACTGTAATATTTATCGATAATATACACGATCAGTATAAAAACACTGCAAACGCTATCGAATCGGCTTTGTCTAGGCCGGCAAATCCACTTGGAACTAGCTCAGCACTTTACCCGGTGGCCCGCTGTGTGACATTCTGTGTGCATATGGAGAAGGGCGGGATGTGTACACGCAGGTCACTCTGAATGGATTCGAACACTTTGCATCGCGTGGATAAATCTTACCTTCATAGCAATGTACTAAAACCGCTAATTATGGAAATTGTCTCTTACGTGTGTCGTAGGCTCCTGTAGAAAGGTATAAGTAGCGTGCGGGAGAGAAAGGTTTTGGTTACTTCCAACACCTTTTTTTTGGCGTCATCTTCGATTGCTGTGTAAAGATAGCGTTCTGTGCAGTACTTAAGTGATTACTATTAGCAAACGCATCGAAAGCGTGTGGCTGTCAGCTTATTGACTGGCTGGATCCAAAGGAATCTGGGTGTCCTACATGGGCGACTGTTCTATCCTGCGCTGATTTACTCGTGCTTTAATCGCAGTAATCAGTCGTCTGTTAGAAATGTTTCTGCTACTTGCCTTCAAAATTCGCCTCGAGAAACCGTTAGAAAAAAAAGTGTTACTACGTTATGATCGTGTGAGTTGGAAAGCGATAACGGGTCCTACCACAAGATGCGCCTGTCTCGCTGTTACAGCCTTCGTACCCAACTCGACAGCGTTATCTGCCATTACGTACAATGTAAATAGCCAAATAAGTTCTTCTGAACTTTTCAACTTGAACATAATGTTTCTCGGAGATAAGATTTTGATCGCATGTGTGTATGGCAGTCGTGTTTTTGGCGTTGCATGTATGTCTTCTTGTACGTTTTGTCTCTAGTGTTAATAAGTGCACTCGATTTATACACTCGAAGCTTATGGTAAACAGAATTGTCGGCGTCTACCGATGCTTAAACAAAATCTCATTAAACTTGCTTATGACGTATCACGTAGCTGAGTAACATATGCGTTAAAGATAGGTTTTGCAGTGACATATATGCCTTGAACTTTGGATCAGAGATTTGATGCAATTACGCCTAGACGTTCACTGCCTTCCGATCTTCAAACGAGTGTGGCCTTCAGAGTATATATAGAGTAGACACTGAATATTGACATGCACAGTCCTTAAGGGGCTCTTAGAAACAATGTGAAAGCGATGTAATCAAAATTGTCGCAGTATTTCTTCACGGTCAGCTCGCTCTCATGAAAGCATGTCATACGTTAGCTAAAACGAATTTCATAATAGGAGGTCATTAGTGGCAAACCTAGCGTTGCGAGTATTTAGAACTCACGAACTACGAGAATTACATGCTCTTACATATAGTCACTCAGTCTATTATATATTTGCAATGAATATAGTCCATTACTGGGAAAACGTCGAGGTAAACGTTTACAACAATATTTAGACCGGCCAATCTTAACTGAGAAACATTCAGGGCTACATTTAGGTTACACGAGATTGACAACTGGGCGGTCTATGATGTAAACGGTGCAAGCACAACAGTTGGCATAAATGTTCCTATACGCTCGAAGGGAAAGCAGGGCATGCCAAATCCGTCTTTTCCTAAAAAACACTTTCAGAAAATATCTAGATTAAAACGCTAGTTAGAGGGTACGTCTGTCTGGCACTAAACTGCTATAAATGTGACGTATATTATGGTTGTTATTAAACTATATTGAGTTCTTGCGGTAAATAAAAGTAGACATGTGTGGATTATTCTAGTCATATGTTATTCTTATTATGACCAGAAAAAATTCCTTCGGTTCTATTTATCAGACACGAGACACTGCACACCTGTTTCTACATTGGATCATGTTGTAAACAAGAAGACCTGGCGCCAAATCTCTCCTGTCAATCTAAAGGGTTCGAACCACCACTCTAAAAGCCTTCACTATTCCCTTTCATAACATAGACCGTTGTTGTAAAAGATAAAAGCTATCCTATTGCTGTCACCTTAATTGCATAATAATAAAAAATAAATACTTGGGAGGGGCATCGGCTGTTTCGTACCGTACTACAAGTTAGGCAGCGCAATATTAAATAAAAACATGACGACAGAAAGAGACGAAGCGATTGGTTACGAAATAGCAAAGCACAAATAAGTTAGATAGACAAGGACAGAATTGGCGATTGAAATAAGCGCTAAGTGTGTAGTAGAACGGAGGACAAGATCTGAGAGAACCGAACGATAGAGGCCGACATTTGCTGAGTTTTTTGTATTTTCTATTGTTCCAGCTAAGGACAAGGAAACAACAGGCAGATAAAACCAGCGAAACTTGCTGAGCACTGGAGTGGAAATCGACCGACAATTGACAGACGACCGTTGATCGGCAAGTACGCTACTGTGAGATAGCGAGTTCTGAAATAAATAGGTGAAAAATGTCGGGAAAAGGAAGTGAGGCAAATGTCATCTTGACACTGCAGAGAGGACCTTGATGTAAGACTGGAGAGTTACATGTCGAATAAAGAAAACATGATATCCGCTTTTCCGTTAACCCGGGAAATTGTCTAGGGAGTCGATGCTGTGCTGAAACAATGGAAGCACACTGTTTTGTGGACAGTGTTCATCAAAATCTGTCAGCCATGTCATTTTCTCTTGAGCAACGGCAGTTTCCAGAGACTTCTGCACCCACCGAAGCTAGCAGGCGTACTGCTCCTGACGACGGGAGGAACCGTGCATACATTTTTCAGCTATTATCTCGAGGCAGGTCTGGCGTAGCCTGCTCCACTTTCACGAAATTTTTTCCAGAAATGCTAGCTAGGTGCAGACAATCAAAATTTCTACAAAAAGAGAATAGTGCCTTTGGGAACGCTTAGTGTTTGGTGTGGCTGCTGGCAGTCCTGTTAGCGGCCCACTTGGTTTCTGTATAAGCTAAGCCTGTAATCGGCTCGCTACAAAGCAAAGGCTACTGGCAAAGGCTGCGCAGGTTTTTCTCAAACAGCAACTGCCGCAGAGCGCAGAACGATATATGGAGCGTCTTCACAAAGCAGAAACGAATGGCGTCAAGCCGGGGAGGGGGAGGATGATGGGCTAGGCCCTTCTGTGGGACTAGTCGCATATAGGACAAGCAGCTAGGAATCATTAGGTTATGCAATCTAGATCGATAGCTGGCGATATTTCGCAGCGTAATGGCCTAACAGAAACGGCTACAAGTTCTAGTAATTTAGATGGTAGTCGGAATACACGTCACGTTTGAAAATATGCATGAAAACTAAACATTGCGAGTCCTGATACGAAGAAGGTTTACTGCGGTGACTACATTTGTCTATTTTTTTTTTTACAGCGGATCCTATGGTATCTGAAACGAGGGCCAACAGATTCGAGTCAATACACTGTGGATTCTTAATCATATTTAGTTATCTATAACAAATATAATGATTTCACACTTCTGACCGCGTCAAAAGAGTCATACAAGTTGCCTGTATCAGATAACTGAATTACGTTAAGAGACATTAACTATTTGGTGGCATCGTTTCCGTCTCGTGAACAGTGTTCGTTTATGGTCCTCAAATTACGCAGGGAAAATTTCTCTAAGGAAAGATTCTCGATACGTATCATAAAATATATGTTGAAAAAGAAAAGGTATTATCAAGAGAGTTTTGAAGCATCGAATAAGGGAAGCAGGTGCACTTGCAGGTGGGTTTGATGTACGACTTACCTGTTCAGGCAAGCCGGCAGCGTCTGGGCATCGCAATCGAAGAGTATGAGAAGAATGCTACGGGCTGGGGGTCCAGTATACAGTTGACTTGTCTCATTACGACGGTGGCTGGTAAAGACATTTCGTCGATTTTTCTTCTGTACAATTGTTAATGCCATTAAATGAGTGGGTCCCATTCTTCAGGCGGGGTAGTGCAGTGCGAGAGCTTAGCAGTTTAGCTATAGCGCTCTATCGATTCGACGAGGCAGAAAAAAGCCATACACTAAACATCTGCAGCCTCGTTTGTTATCTGGTCTGAGTCAAAGGTGGATTAATTCGCCATCGAGGAAGCTTCGAAAGAGGACTGGCTATGGCTCTACACACAGGTAAAAGTAGGTTAGCCATGTCTATTACTTTCTGTATGTGACGGAGCTTGCGCAAAATGGATGACCTCTCACTAGGGCGCCATTACGAAACCATGAGAGACGACTACTTCGTTTTCATATTTGGGCTTGCCCCATTGTTAGCTTGCGTGCAGCACGTTTCGGGCTAGACGGGAATTAGTTATGCCACTGCGTGCGCGAAACTCCTTTCACCGACATAGTGCGACATGCAGCATCGACAGGCCCAGCGTGTCCATTAGCTGAAGAACCGTTTGATTGTCGCAAGAACTTGTGTATGACACCTCACCAAAGGAAGGCACACTATAGTGATAGTGATATTATTAGAATCTCTATTTTCCGTCGGTGGAATTTTTTTACGCAGACATCCTATTTCCTCTAAATGCGCTTCACAAGAATTTATCTGCTTACTGTGTTACCTATAGAAGCCAATGTTCACTCTTCGTGGGGTTTCCACTGAAGCAAAATATCTATTCCATTAGTGCTAGCTACCTGGCGGGCAGGTCGTATCTGCGGTACTTAAAACAGGGAACTGCATTGAAAAACTGATCTGACTATGAGAATACGTTAGAGTAGCACGTTCAAGGCTAAGTACATAGTGTGCCATGTATTTTCATGTAGAATGACGCAAATTTGTTTAAACGACTCGCAAACAACAGTTCAGAGTTTTCTAACGCAAGAGCGCCAATCTTTTTGGTGGGGCAATCGTTTAACTCTTCTACTCATTTCTATGGTATGGTAGACTGCACATAGAGAGTGGCATTATTTACAACTACATGTATCACTCAGTTAATGAAAAGCTTCAATTAAGCCAAGGGCATGCCGCAAATTGTGTAAAGGACGTTCTACAATCAAATCTTTATTCACTACGAAGGCTTTCTTCTATTCGAAATTAATAGTTATTCCTCCCATCGAAAAGTCCGGCCTTGTCTTGGCCACCTTCCTTTCGTACTGTTCAATAAAAGAGTGTTACATTTGAAGTCTTCTGGGGTCCAAAACTGCATCTCAATTGATGCAATAAATAAATAAAGAGGCATTAAGCGCTTATGCTACGACGCGATCGTATTCGAACGACATAAGCCTATCAGCCGAATTTACACAGCTAGTTTGGCTGGCACTTGACAGACGGTAAGCCTACTGTATTATAACGGAATGCCGCCACCGAATGAAATTGGCATTAATTTCAGACCGAATACACAGCTCTTATGTGCTATATTTTCTAAATACCACCTTGAAACAGCTTTTTAAACGCACAGTTTTGTAGTGCGCCTACGCATCTATTGTTTTCATTAAGTTAGCACCCTACGATCATCTTAAGGCAAAGGCGTACATTTGGGGCAAATCCAAACTCGCCTTTCTTTTGGCTCCGTTCGGGCTTTGTTTGGCGGACTTATTCAGTGAATCGAGTAAATCGAATAAAGGCGCACTATACGTACTTGTGCCTCTGCTCTGCATAGCCGCGATGCAGTTAATTTTAGCGGCGGCAGCGGCGGAAATTTGCAATAGAACGCGAAATGTCGTAATAAGCTAGCTTGCTTTATTGATCCTTTCCGCCTTTCTTATTCCCGCACCCCATACATTCATTCCTCGGGGGGTGCGCGAATGGAGAGAAACAGCAGAAAAAGCGGCAGGAGTCTGTGTGGCCAGCTACGAGAGCGTGAATTCTTTTTGTGCCGACACGGAAATATATGTGCAGCGCTGTCAGTGTCGCCGGACGTTCTATTCATTTAGTAGCGGTTAGGTCGTTAGGTTACTTGGACAGATTCGGATAGTCGACGGAGTGTTTTCTTCTAGTGCGAGGCCTTACTTTGATAACGTAGTAGTGTTAAAGAAAGAAGCAGAAAAACAGGAACTTAATGCGATGCAGACATCGCAGAAGGGCACTTCGGTGAAAGCGATGTCTCTAGTGATATAGTTTGGTTTTTATCCAGACAGATGGTTCCTACGGCGACAACAGACCTTCAGAAGAAACCTTTCGAGCGCGACTGAGGCGTGAAAGTGGTAGCTGTATATTTTTTAAAAAAGAAAAACGGGAAAATTATGAGCGACCCGAGAACTGTTCCTTCTAATGTTAATACTGTTGCAGCTTCTCAACCTTTCCGACTTAATATCGTATAATGTTCTCTTGCTGTATTTTACGATAAACTTATATATTTAACCAATAAGTATAGCTACAGAGATCACCCTGGATAAATATAGGCGGAACCGAATTTTTATTGGTTTGCATGATATATAGAATTATACATTATGTATACATCTAGCTCAATTTCTATTTCTAAGTTAGACAATCAAAACTGTGAAGTTCTATTTTGATCTCTTCCAGATGCGAGTTTCTTCCGATCTAAATGATATAATTCGACGCTGCTTTTCACATTTGCGTGAAAAAAATACTTAATGTTTTTTTTTTTTTCTATTTCTCTCTTTATCGGTTAAAACGGCAAAATATTAGTGTTATCAGAGTTTCACGCTTCTGTGCTCTGTCATGCCTTATCTACGTATCTATGGGCCAAATGTGATCTGTGTATAGGGAGAGTCGCTCTATCAGTCGCACGAGGCGCTAGCACTAGTCGCCAATGATTTTCTGTATTCCATAGGGACATAAAACCCGTCTTATTAGCTAATTCATTCCTCTGGCCTGCAATGTCATGGCCTGCTGTTCGGTTGTGCCAGCGCGGCGGCTCGAACTAATGTGCGAATGCTATCCGCAATGTAGGTCCTTTATTCTACATGACGCGTATGTGTGACAGTAATCGCAGCTGTTTGCTGCTAGGGGTTGCGCGTGATGTTGAGTATTGCGGAATAAATAGACTGGGTATAGAGTGGCTGTGAAGACTTTATCAACACGACGGCGACAAATTCACTATGTGACGGTATGCACCACCCTCAGCTTTTAAATAACATTGAATCCAGTTAGGTGACTGCTATCCATGGCAATGACCGGTAAAGCAAATCTGGCCGTCGCCCGAACGTTCGCGTTCCTTCTTGTGGTGGTAATCAGTGCAGAATTTATTATGTTACCCAAATGTCGCGGCAAAAAATACAAATAGATTAGACTTTAATATGATTAAGAATAACACCATAACATAATATGCGATAGTGTTAACCATGCTACCAGTTTTTACGTTTACTTAATCGTCAAATTTAACGCAGGGTGATGACAACGAACATACGTTGAACTGGAACTCTATCACCACATGCTCGAAGCTTTAGCAAGAAAAGCCGTTTTGTTGACACATCTCGATTGCATCTAAGGACAATGTTACAAAGAAGACGCACAATCCGATCCCAATAGCTGTTTCTATTTTTCCTGTACGTATAATATGAATAGTAGTCATTAAAGTCGACACCGATATATGTGTCGAAATTTTTGCTCCATCTTACCGTTAAGCATCATGTTGAATGTCTGGATCTCTATCTTAACTACACACGGTTGGCATAATCACGTATGTATCAATCAATGCCTCGCTGTAGGACAACTTGCTAGCCAATAATGTTTAGATTCGATCCACCGCTGCTTGGACTACATGGCTAGCACAAATTAGAACCGATGGTCCACCCTAGCTGTTAAATGACATATGTTTATGGCGCGATTAATTGAGCTCCTATGGCCATTGGTTGGTGATAGGCTACTTGGCGGCGGTCTGCCCGCTGAGCAAATTACCCGCCAATATGTCAAACATCGAACAAACTCCTATTTGAATATTTGTTTTGCGTTCTCTATCTAGCAGACCTATTCTTGGTTAATGCTCCGACTATCTAGCTAGGGACGCTGGTAACAGTAATACCAATCGTTCGATTTGGCTTTTTAATGTAGAATTCGCGCAGAGCAGCTACAAACGAGTTGGATTATCATGTGCGTTATGTTGGCAAAGGATGTTAGTTCAGTGACCTGAATTTGATATTTAAATCTTAGTCTGGGCTAGTTACTTTTGCATATTTCTACAGTTCTGCATGTATCTTTTGGCCTTTTAGAGACAGGTACAAATTTCACAAGAGAGTGTCACATTTTGATGATATTCCTGTCGAATAGTATTATCTGAATAACGTATATTTGTGGGAGAGATTTTGTGGGATTCCGTTATTGCAATCAAATGTCAATATGGCGACGTTTACGAAAGGTGAATTTTGTACGCAGTTTCAGACCGAAGATTACTCTTGGATCTAGCGAGCTATCTAGTAAGATACTACTGAACATTGTAGCAAAACCGTAAATTAAGTTAGCGTATAGAAAGAAATAAATCGAGGCAGGACATAGATAAAAGAACAAAATTGTACTATACGATATATTTGAAAAGGTGAAAAAAATCTAGCTAATGGAAGAGGCAGTGGCCGAGAAATAGGCAAACTAGAAACGATTTCTATTCTCATATCTGAGGCCGACAGAACTGGTTCCTCTCTGGTATAGCGATCTCGATCTATAGGGTTGTCTTCGCGTTGCCCATTGAAGGAGCAAGGTCGAGACATCTTCCCGCAGATGAAATGGTCGCAGGACGTATCGGTTCGCCTTCTTCCCTCTCAAACGCATTATCGTCCGGCCTATAGTTCATCGTCATTGTCATTTTTTATAGGTGTTTGCCTGGAGAAGATCACTGGCAAATCTTGACTTGGTTGCCGGGGTAGGGAAGGATGCTACGAAAGTTAGATTTTGCGTATGTGCCACCTTTGAGGGTAGCTCCAGTATTCTCGGTTTCTCAGCAGCTCGGAGCTGTGGGCAACGGGTTGTCGTCCTTCCTGGCCCCCATCGTTGTGTCATGAGACGTTTCAGAGTCAGTCAGCACGCACTACTTTTATGGAGAGCATCTTGCTTTTTGTTTGGGTTAGCCGGGCATAAGCGAATCGTTTCAAAGAGAGACACAAGGCTTCGTTTCGTTGACGTAGGACTGTTTCACTATTATTGAATGATATTACGTAAAATGGCGAGACTGTCAAGGATCATTGTCGGCTTCAGCTTGGCAACGAGAGCCAATGCCCAAACTCGGTCGCGGTCAAAGCCATAGTGGTTTCGACTACTAACCTACAGGTAACGTCTACACCTAGAAGATTAGGCTCGGGATGGGGGCGAAGTTCGTTCAATGTATGCAATGAGACGAAAAGAGAGACGCGCTGATAGAGAGAGAGTTCGCTTGGTGGTCTGGTCATTGCGATGCCGTCGATTGAAAATGTACGAGCACCAGTGAAGCTATTTAGGATGCTAGCAGAATAATGAAAAGGGGTCCGTTTTGGTGACACCAAATCGATCCCATCCTGCGCTAAGAAGCAGCCCCAGCGATTTGGCGTTATCGCTGCTCTTGCTCCAAACATTATTCGATGACAAGTAAACCGAGAAAAACTCTAAAAACTCCTCAGGTAACGCGTCGTTTTACAGTTGCAATATGAACTTTAAGTGTGCTATTTATACTGGGCAAAAACATTTCAGGTGAAAAAGTGCAGTCAGGCCCAACGTCGTTTGTTTGTATAATTTTGCGTTCCTATATATGTGGAAGCAAAAAAACAGATCACCCTAGAAGCAGATATGCGGCAGTGATTGATTACAACGAACGCACAACACGGGCGGATGGAGCCGTGGCTTTGATTGCAAACGGCAACAAATACACGTGGGACGCCTATTCTTTATCTTTCAAAGTCGCTACTTGCATTTTTAGTTGGGACGAATATAACACGTTTGACATTTTTATTTATTTAGTTACTTTTGACGGCAACATCAACAGAGTGTTTGTACCACTACTACGTTTACACTGCGCACCTTTCCCGCCATTCAGATAGCGCTCGCTATGAACCAAATCCGCTACGGTCTTCGTTTGTGTTTTTGTTTCTCACAAAACGTTATTTCTAGCACCGCATAGGTATAATGAGGAAGTTTTTTCTCCAAGAATTATATTGCCTAATTTTCGCATACTGCGGCGGCTCTGGATGTGGATATCTACGTTTCTATGTAAGAATTAGATGCTTAGCAAAAAAGAGAGGTAAATCCGCTAAACTATAGCACGAGCCCTTTGGCTAGCTGGCCGGCTATCTTCTATAGACATAGAAAACTTGTCTATAGCACTTGGCGCCTCCTTTTCCCGAACGCTCCTATTTTACCTATCCGCCGCACATCTCTGCCGCCTGATCCGGCATGTTACGCCACAATATACATGCATGGAAATGCGCTTGCCCATGATGATTCCAGAGTTCCTCGTTAAGTGGCTATATAACTATAGAAGCCGAGTGTACGCAAGCAGAACGGGATATATACCTATGGAACAACAATCGACATTATTTCAACTGTGTACGCCCGATCGATGCGCGACGCTAAGCGAACGTACAAATTGATCTAATTGCGAATAAAGCTTAGGTCTTCGAATTGTGTAGCTGAGAACGTTCAGTTGAAGCTTGAGGCTCAAGTGGACGTACCCAGTTCGAATGTTGGGGCGAAATCCTAAGCTTTTATTTCTGTTCCAGCTGCTGTTACGCTAACAGCGAAGGCACCTATAACACTAGTGTACAAAGGGGTTACAGACCCCACTGGGACGAACTCTCAAATCGCGAATAACTGCAATGGGGAGCAATGTACAACAAGGAAAAAATTCAGTTCTTAGGGTTGTGTAAGTGTGACGATCGTTGCCTTCTACTGGTGCTGTGTCTAACGAAGTAGCGAAATATGTCTTGACAAACTAGACAAGCACTAAACTTTGTATAAACCGAAGGACACGGGACGGACCGGACGACGACCTTAGGGAACGAACCTCCCAACATGAACGATTAAAACCACGAGGTATATCGACAAAATTGCAAGGTTATTTTTTGTGCTAGGATGACGCTGATGTACGCCAGGCAGCCCCGATCATATATGTACATTATTCGAAAACTATGCATCTGTATGTTATCTTCTTTTGAATTGAATTGTAATATTTATACTAACTGTGTTTAGCAAAAGCTTCTTCCTGACTAATGCTCGAAAATACCCTCACGGAAACTTACTAAGATACGATTTCATTCCGAAACGTTGTATCGTCTTATTTCACAAAGTCAACAGTCTCTAAGCCCTATCGGTAAACATTTTTGACGATCCTTTAACTTTGATATTTATCCTAAAACACAGCAATAGTCGAGATTTATACTATCTATTTAACCGATAAGCGCAAACCCATTTTGTTAGTCATTTTTCAAGGGTGTGTACGACTGACGTTATCTGTGGCGTTTTCACCGGCTACACAACGTACGCACCGTAACATTTCGTCTAGATTTTGAATGCTGATACCTGATGGCCGGTGTTACTCGAAACGCTAAGCCATTCCCTTCTGCTTCGAACTTGCTCATTTTGCTGCACGCCTTTATTCGTGTTTACCGTTGTTATCACAGGGGAACAGCCAGCTTCCCACTCGGTTTACTCGCGTCAGCAACGAGCTAGATGTCATGAATATAGCAAATGGATGTGCTCTCTAACAGCTGCCAAAGTGCAAGCAGGATGGTTCAACAAGCCAGAAGGATAATGAGCACCTTACGTCTATTACAGTTGAATGCTGCGCGTCTGATAAACAGTATTCCGCCGGAAGACCGACACCGCCCTTCCCCGTTTCCCCATTCGTTCTCCTCAAATTCTGCCGACAAGCTTGAAGTGGCACATAAGTCAAAAGCTCGCCCACTCACTGTTCTCCTGTTTCGGATCTTTGTACTGCTGTTGATTTCGCTGCTGCTGTTGATGCTTCTTCAGCGGCAACTTGTTCCAACCGTCTGCTTTCCCGCTGCGTTTCGCTTTGCAGAAGAGCCGTCGTCAAGCGACTGTCTGGCCCTCTATTGACAGCATCGTAGTTTTTACTCTCTGATCCTCTCCCTTGGCCATGGTCATAGATGACGTGGCCCCGACATGCTCACGCACGTAATCACGATTGCTGTGACGGCGGTGGGTAACACAGCGGTGGCAGCGACGATGTCGGGGGCATACGGAGCTATGGCTGTCTCTGTGCACGTGACACAAAGAAAGATGGTGCACGACCCACCGGGCACGTTCTGATCTAAACTGGTAAAGATGTGCAAAAAGAAAAGAAGAAAAATCGCTGTATGTGGGCAACGAACGGGCTCCCTAGAGTGGATAAATATTGACTACGTAATATATGGCCTTTCGCTGCCTAGCAAAAAATAACAGAGACAGAGAAAAGGCATATAGTAAAGTAAAACAAAAATAACTCAGGAAAGAGATCTCTGTCTTCAGAGTAATCGACGGAAGGTAAAATAGAATTTATTTTCGATCGAGCATGCTGTAAAACTAGCAACAATAGAAACAGCAGCAAATGTGGTAACCCTGTTATGTAGTAGGTATTCGAAGTGTCAGCGTGGCAGTCTAGCCGGTAACTTATTTGTCTACTTATCTTTAAGCGCAGGCATACAGTTCGTTTATCCGTCTGATCGAATACCTAATGGAGTTGCCGGACGTAAAAGTTGAAACATAGAACTGTTTGAAGTAAGGTGTCGTTGTAGTTAGAGCTAAGTATAAAACAACGCTACCCCCACCTCCTTTCCCCGACTATAGAAGGGCAACTATAGGAGTAGTACAGAATGATTATGGTGCAAATAAGCGGCGTCGCGTGCGTTGCTGCTTTACTGTCTAACAACGGAAAAGCACTTAGTGAGCAGTGAAATATCATCATTATTTCTCAGATTGTACATTTCTTAACCAAACAATATTCTATCAGTCTCTGATGGCTCTTGTTTCTTTATCATATTTTAGCATTTTCATTGTTTAGCGTAGTACGTTTATTCTTTAAAGATGGCCTTGCGTTAGTGCTGTATCAGAAAAAGAGATTTTGCAATACCAAACAATCAGAAATACCGAGCGGACACCGACAAGGGAAAAAGAGAAGGAATAAAAAAGCCGATAATACATGTAAGTGGTCTAAGATTTGAAAACGAAGCTGCATGAAATTAAAGATGTGGACATCGCTCTATACAAGCCTGACGTTTCGTATCTCTGTTATAGCATGTCCGATAGGATGTGTTGTATCTCGGCACTTTAGATCTAAAGTACGTAGATTTCTAATCATTATGCTGAAAGGATACGTTCAAAACTTCGCTCCCAAAACACGAACGAGTGGATGCCAAGGAGTAGAGTATCACCACCTCGCTTTAATAGAACAGACAGAATTTTGACTCTGTTGACGATGTGTACGCAGACTCTACCTGCCAACTCTATCTACGCAGGCAAAAAACAGCGGTAGGGTCCTTTTCGTTGCAGGCTTGTTGCGAGACATTAAAAGTTGGGCTTTCCGCATCGGCGCTCCGATCTTCTTAAACACGAAAAAGTACATGCCACAGTTATAGGGGACGAAGTTTGAGGAAAGAACAGAAAAGGCCCACATACCCTACCTGCTTGCTTGGAGTATCTGCGAAGAGAAGCGAGTCCTGTTTTAGCCAAATGATCCGCCGCCTTGCCATATATATCGTATTGTATCCTACAACGACGTCCCTAAAAGATTTTACAACAAGGACAACCCGTTAATTTACCCAACGATCTAAACAAAACAGATTTGCTTTCCAATAGATAATACTTCTTGTAGTACATATAGTGACCTAATTTGAGGCTTTGCAATTTGGTTGGCAATACGCATCAAAGCAAGCGAATAGATAGGTCAAGTGCTTTTAGACTATACAATTTAAAATCATCTTTGGTTATTTACGACGGAATTACTGACAGGCAACACGACCCGTGCTAAGTTCTTCAAACACTGTTTGAACTATAGAACGAAGTGGCAAGTCAGTCCGAATATATGCGGGTTGAAAGTAGACCATGGCTTAACCACGCATGGTAGGTAAACGTGTTTCGCTCACGGCTACAAACTGTGCACTCCACTGATTTCTCATATTTAGTACTAAATACCCTAGGACACGTAATTCCCTCAGTCACGATCCTCCACGATTCCCTTATCTTCGAAATAATTAGCATTTAACGGTAGGGCCTAACTTATCTGGCTGTTTTCGTTGTAGCTCAACTAATAACGTAATGTATCTCGCCCGGCATGGTTACATGAAAATATACTAATAACCAAAGAATGCAGTAAAAACATTTACCTATATCATGCTTATATTTGCAGTTCTTTGAGTGGTGTTCGGTCGACCTCGTTGGGGTCGGTGGAAGTTTTCCTTTTCTAGCTCATAGCTCTACCCGTTTCTCTAAGAATTTTAGTCTAGTTCGGCAATCCGACCGCTGTTTTGCGCATTATGCTACTTCACAGTCGTCATATGTCTTTTGTTTGCACTCTTCGGGGCTTAGTACTCATCGTGTGTTCCGTAGATGGCGTAGGCTCTATCGAACACGAAGTGGGACCGATGCATTTAACATAAGCTAAGGCTTAAACAAGTAAGCTAAGGGCCTAACGTGCTGCTTGGTAGAGAATGACAACATAAGCGAAAGAAGGCCGAAGGGAAAGGTCAATTATTATGTGAACAAGAGCCTGCGAACTTACGTAAACTGAAATTACAGATAAAAGGGGAGCAGATGAGGGGAAAGGTTCAGCAGAGCCAGCACAATCAGAGAAACAATGGCTGCTGAACCATTGGCACAGTATTAGTTGTACCGGGACAGCAGAGGTACCAAAGGAATACACCAATGCTTCGCCCCCATTTCGGTAACGGTTCATTGACGTCACAAAGTGTGGTTATAAAAGGGTTTGTGAGAAAAAGAGAGACATTCCCGTGGGATCCTTGGAAGGGAGAATCCAGTAAGATAAAAGAATTTGCGTGTGCCGGAGAATAGAAAAAAGAAAAAGACGAAGTGCACCAGAAGTGGAACGCAATGGGAACGAGGAAGGGACACGTCAACGAGCCGTTGCGAAGACCGTTTCCTAAGGAAAAGAACGTAGGAACGACGGGCAGAGCCGACTCCGGTCAGTCAGTCGGTCGGTTAATGTGTCGATCTGTGTGTTTCCATTGCCAGAACGTATACCCATGACTGCCCAAGATAAAACTTTGAGACTTGATAATTCATCTTCGGTGCATGAAGCCTGCCTCAAAGTGGCTCCACAGGGTCACAGCTTAGCTCGGTCGCAACACCAGCAGGACAGGACTGGTGAGGTAGTTCCGTCCCAGTAGTGCCAAGGCGGATGGAACCAACCGAAGGAAGGAAAAACCAACCGTTGTAATCTTGAGACGACAGGAAGTCCCTGTCCGACTTGTCTCGTGGCCTTCTTTTTGTCAAGGGTACGAAGCGAACATCCGGAGTTACGCTGCAGTCAACGTGTATCAAAATGGCACATAAAGTAAAAGAGCAACAGAGAAAGGGCAGGAGACACTTTGGCTTCTAAGTAAGAGGGCCCTGCCGCCCATCCCCCATTCAGCGAGGGACAACGACGACGCCATATTCAACACACATCTTCACGGCAATCGGAAACGTGACTAAAGTACCTTTGTTGCCCCTTTTTGTTTTTGCTGGATCGGATCGAACTTGAATAGGCCCTTGGATGATAAAGAACATATTTCCGTACATAAGACAACGCTGTTCATGACTGCAGCAAATGAATTGAGAGTCGCTGGCAGCGAAAGATCAGCTATAGATATATTTGGTAACAATTATTTCTCTACTTTTTGATCTTACTGGGGGGCTATACATAGAAAAAATGAAGCACGTAATATAACAGGATTAGCATAGTTTGAACTGACGGTCAGTATATCACACCAGAGCTTGTACGCTGTGGTTTAATTTAGAGAAGGGCTGCAAAGATGTCCGCTTAAAGAATAAATGTTTAATGGATTTTGTGAGTTTCTCTTGTTCTATCAAAAATTTTAATCCTTAGCGGCCACCGTATGGTATTTAACGTTGTGATATTTCCATAAATTTATTTAGATTAGATTGGAAAACGTCAACATACAGACCAGTCTCAACCTACGAAAGGTAAAAAAGCTTACCCGTTTATGTGATTTTAATTGTGAACGGTAATCCGCCTTTCATATGTTGTACGCCATGTCCTTAAGTGCTATTTACTTAACGACTTAAAATGTGTTCAGATTGATGATGAATTTTTCGAATGTGTGTGGTACCTACCGCCTGGGGTATTCTTTCTCTAGTGCATATATGTTACCTATCCGCTATGGCTTTGGTTAGTTTTATACAACAAATATATATCATATATGCTTGGCTGGACGGCCTTAATTCTCTATGGTCCAATAGAGTAATTTCATACCCATTGTGCATCACTAACCGTATTACGTTCAGCGAGTTGGACTGTATGCAGCTGAGGCTATCTAGACTTTTCCTGGCGTGCAGAAATGCTCTCCGATTAATCTCATGCGGTTCGTTCGGAAGTAGCGCCTTGAACGGTGCAGCACTTATCTGCACCTAATTGCACTTGACACTGAGAATAAGTTCGCCAGTTCAACAGCCGACATTTTGGTCTCTTGTTTTTATGGTCTTCAGTAGCGTTCTGCCTTAAGAAAGGAGTACATATAAATTGCGCGCTGTTTGGAGGGTTCGTGGCATACGTCTTTCTCTGAGAAACCATTACAAATATGGAAAACCTTTGACGAAGGTTGTTCCGTGGCTTTAACTGTTCTTCCATAAAGATAATAACAATAAGTTCCGTATTGCCCTCACAGCTGGCCAGCCGTCTGCTAGAAAGCTGACTGTTCCCTTCTCGCTCCTTTGCCGCCCAACATACAACGCTCGAAAAAAGTCATGAGGCACAAATGCGGAAACACTTTATTCCTGCTCTCCTCAGAAGGGAAGACAGGCAAGCGATGACCATGCGGCCAACAGCAGCGTGTCTCTTCGAACGCGTGCAGCATAAATTCGAACGACTAGGCAGAAACGCACACGTTAGAGAGAAACGTCGTACCAGATACATTTACTGAATAGGATAGCTGTTTTATCTGAAAGCGATATAGTGCAAATGGAAACTAGAAAATAAATACGATGTGAATGCAGCAAAAAAGATAGCTCATTTCACCTGTGCAAGCAGGAATTCTCCTTTTCATCCTTTTTTCGTTTCGAGCTATACGATATTGATAATTGCTCAACAAATCGATAATAGTTGAAACGTCAATTACAGTGGCTAGCTGGTCTGGTCCTTCGAAGCCGATCGAAGCTCGAGTTTATACAGCTTCACCTGTTTCGACCTGAGTCAAATATTGCTTCTGACATGGCCTCATGAAAGAACAGTTTATCGTATAATATAATACCCTAATTTTGTCCAGTTGTTTATTGCGTCTTTTGAATCCATCAGATGGTTAGGTTTCGACCCGAATTTCTAATATGAATTGAAAAGTTTTTAAAACTTAGGTTGAGCACTAGAAGAGGAAGAGATGGTATATTCCTTCATTCTATTTTAACTAAAAAGAGTGATTAAGGGTATGCTTATACTTGCTGATTATACGTTCTTAAACGGTTTCCAGAAATTATTTCATTCCATTTCTGATTATTATTACGAATGTAAGGCCTACTAGAATGTTTCCAATGCTCTTTGTATGGTGCACAGAAGTTGCCTAGTCGTTATGGCTCCGGTGGGTCTACTAATAAACAAGGAGTTCGTCCACGAGATAATAGTAGTCTCTGTATTAACTGTATCCATCAGCGTGCTTTTGATATGCGAAGGACCCAGCTGGGCCGATGAGAAGAGTAGCTGGTCCCTTGCGGTTGTTGTTAGTATTACATAACTGGTCAACTTGCTTCTGCCGTCACGTCTCTGTACGTACACGTGTCGCCAATACGTCGACGTAGTCGACAAATCGCTTCCTTTGCCTTTTGCACACTGACCTTGCTCAAGTTGGTTTCCGGCAACTTAAGTTTCAACATAGTCTTGATGCCCATGGATTTTCCACCCGGCTGTTATTTACTAACCTCTAGTAATACCATGTAAGACCCTTTCATCGATTTTCCGGATCGGTCGTCGGTGTTCCATTGAATTCGAATTTAGTAGTAACGTGGAAACTATAAGGCATATTTGCAATTTCTAATGATCTTCTGCAAGTAACTAATCTGTCAAGTAAGTTACCCTTTATTAATCATTATTCTGTTTACGTGTGTATTCAACAGCTAAGCATTTACTACATAGGTCTCGATGGGCTAATACGAGCTCCAGTCGCCTTTCTACGAACATCACAGATTAACTTACCGACTTGTGCTTGTTTACAGGTAACTGGTCCACGCGATCTAATTATATTCTATTTGATTTTTTTCGGGCTGTTTTATGAAGTAGCTGTTAGATAAATAGTATCAGGCGAAAAGACTAAACTTGATATGTAACTCAATAAACTGTCGGTCAATACTATCACTAGAAAATGTTCTTTTAGTGTCATCATTTTCCTACGTGCTTTAATGATCGTACGCTATCTACTACGATCTACGTTACGTAGATCGCTGAAATACAAAGAACAAATATGATGGCAAAACAGGTTTCAGCTGCCCGGCTGCACGACTGTTCTAACGTTTTAGTGTGACAATGCGTCCCGTTAGGCTTAACAAACGCGCCTTAGCGCCTAACGGCGATCTCGTGAGCATCCAGCTTCAAGCACGATCATTCGCCGGCCATCACATTGCACTGGAAAACAAATTTTCATAAGCCTATTTCTTATCCATAGAATATTTATAATCTACAATGTGCTATAGCATAAAAGTTCAGCAGATACCTTAAAATGCATTTTCATCGTGTAATTTTTTGGATTTGTGTTATTTCATGCGAATGATGTCTTCCTATTTGCGGAAGAATAAATACAAATGTAATTCTAGAAGTGGAAAAATCGACTTACCTTTCGCGTATGTCGCATTTAAATTATGGTGGGGCATTCTAATGCGGACATATTTTAACGGGCTTTTTGTCGTAGGGGGGCAATACATCATTCTCGGAAGCAGAATGAAACCTTTCGAGAATAACAAACTCAACGTAGCGAAAAATGGTGCGCCGTCTTTAAAATTAGATCAGCCATTATTCAATTTGTCTGCACTTGACGAGCTCTCACCAAAATCGACAATTTTCTATTTTGTCTAAAATTAACGGCCTACATTATTGTTAGTCATCATGTGATTTCTGTGAAATCATCTGTTTCATCTTGATTTTGATAACGCGAACAAAAAGATTCTCAGTATTTTCTAACGAACCCCTCAAAGGCGTTGAGAAGTTATTGAAATAACACAGAAAAAACGTTCTTCATATACCTGTGCCTTTGGTAAAGAAAATGATGCCATTTTGAAGAAGAGGATACCAGCTGCTAAATAGGTTGTGCAAATAAGCTACTACGTCTAATCGTTTCAAGACTTTTTGACATCTTTTAAATTTTTTGGCATTTTTGAGACTTTTGGCCTGCTATCAGGCCAGATATTAGTTCCTCTGGAATTTTTCGCATGTACAGCCTTTCTACGTGTATATATATATATACATATAGTTGCTACTAGCTGTGGAGAGCATTTGTTGAGGCAGGTAATGAAAATGGCTTTCATTTTTACTCGTTTTTACAGAACAGGTAGTCTATACTTCGATGTATCGTAGACGAAAACGGCATGGCGGTTGTGCAGACATACGCTGTACTATTTTTCCGACCAGGGTATTTGGTACCACAGATTGGTTTGTATCTATGGTATCTAGCCTATGGCCTATGTATCTAGAAACAAAATGCATGAATTGCACGACGCACATTTGGCATGAGATATCGTGATGCCGATTGTGCCCGAGTAATCATTTCGATTACGATTAGGTTGTGGCGGATCGCGTTTTGCGGGGTCGAGGCTGTGGGTGTATTACTGCTGTTCTTTAACGTTACTCTTCTATTATGGTAGCACACTTACGATTTCTACAAATCTTTTTGACTAACCCGCTACGTCATCGCGACCAATTGAAACTGTAATTTTATCATGAAAATAACAACAATAGTAACATACGTAGCGTCTAACGAATTATGTTGCTCTTGATTTGAGCATTTTCGTATCGTTATAGATACCATATTAAAACAGAGATGCTACTGCTTTACTTCCAACATAACCAAGCCTCGGTGGCTAAATTAAATTCAAAATCTTTCGAACCTAATATGATGTCAACAGGGCTGAATTGTTCAAAATAAGATAATAAAAACACAAAACAGTAGAAGTAAACAGTATCCGTAAAAAAACACCAAATTGACTCTAACACTCATCTGGAACAACTCTCGAGGATAAAAGCTTAGTGATGTGATCCATCGAAAGCTTTTCAAGTGGATCCTTACGCAACTGTGCCATAATTAGCTTCATTTGTTGCTTAATCCTTTTGATGCATCGGCGTTACAGTTTCAAGCCTAATATGTCCTGGAACAATAAGGTTTTTCATTTGACTTGCTAGTTATGATTAGAAGTTTGTGGCCCATTATATAGAAACTGAGGCCACATTTTAAACGTTGGTTGGTAGGTACGTTAGTATTGCAAAAAATACTATCGAAGCTGATGTCTTAGGGTCTTCCATCAAACAGAAATTTGGCATACATTTCCTGTGATAGTACACGTCGGCAAGTAAACGTTCCCTTTTCGATATACAATATCTTTTCTAGTTTCATTTTCGACCGCTAACCTCAATGCAGGATAGCTATAAGTAAAAGGATGCTTACAAATGACACGCTGCCCCTAAGATTACTAGTGATGAAGCCCTGAAAATTCATAGTTATATTGTGAAAAGCCTCCTGCTACATGAAGGGCTCGTAACTTTGTAATTAAAACATTTTTAATGATCTACGTTAGGAATCACGGGCTTGGTTAGCGGCTAGGACAGGTCAGAGCAACGTAGAGGAGACCTTCAAAGGCCAGGGAAAGCCGAACACCATCAAACAGACACTAACTGGCCATAAACAAGCAGGTCGCGGAGAGGGGGAAGGCTTCGCTGAAGGCTCCGCTGAATCTCGGAATAAACAGGGTGGCGCTTGACTCTCGTGTATCGAGCCACGAGGGCCGGGAGGCAAAAGGAAGAACACTAACAGATTCTGCGCTAGCCATAGGAATATAGAAGTCTCTTCGTAGTTGTACTTCGATGAGAGGCAGGAAAAGAATGCCAAAATCTTGGACATTAATGGTATCGTTACCGAACTTATATAGCTAGGAACCAACGTTCGATTCTGATGCGCGTTTTCGGCGTCGCTGAAATCTGTGGATAAATGAAAGAAGCTACGAAAGGCGTTGGCAAGGGTACACGTTTGAGAAAAGCTGGCTGTTGGTTCCGTTGTGGTTCCTTGTAATTGGATGTGTTAGAGACAACGAAAACTCCAGTCATGTAAGCTAGGTTAACACGACTGTGATAACAAGTTAAGGACTCAACGCTATTCTGCCGAGTGAACCCTCTTATAGCAAAGTATTATTACTAAATGGAAATAATCGATGCGCTTTAACTGGGATCTTTTAAGTGAAGTTTATTTGAAGTGATTTAAGTAGTT